AACTGCTGCCGCATTTCACCTGACTCCTTCTGGATTGCACCCAACTGCTGCCGCATGTCACCTGACTCCTGCTGGATTGCACCCAGCTGCTGCCGCATGTCACCTGACTCCTGCTGGATTGCATCTAACTTCTGCTGCATTTCACCTGACTCCTGATGGATTGCACCTAACTGCTGCCGCACATCACCTGACTCCTGCTGCATTGCACCTAACTTCTGCCGCATTTCACCTGACTCCTGATGGATTGCACCTAATTTCTGCTGCATTTCACCTGACTCCTGATGGATTGCACCTAGCTGCTGCTGCATTTCAACTAACTGCACCTGTATTTCAACTGACTCCTTCGGTATTTCGCGTTCAAGTGAGTCCTGCTGCATTTCGGTAGGAGACCGAGCCGAGTCCTGTGGAGATGGAAGACGGGTCAGGGTCAGGATATGGGCTGCATAGGTATGACCCCAGGCCCTGATCCAGCTGAGGCCCCCCAGGCTGGTGGGCCTCTGGGAAAACAGAAGACCCATTTGCAGAAGCCCTACATGGGAATGCCCTTTGTTTCCCTGCAACAGCTCTGCAGACAGGAGGGAGCTGGCCCCGAGGCTCCCGCCCCCATGGCTGTATCTGACTGTTCCAGGAGGGTTTCTGGCCTGGCTCCAGGCACACTCAGGCTCCATCCATGTCTTGAGTTGAGGGCAGGAGGCAGTGCCAGCCCGAGCGCCCACCTCTGAGCTCTCGGGCAATCCCCCTTTCTGTCAGGACAGCTGTGCCACACACAGGCCAGCCCATAAATCAGGAGGAGCTGGGGTGATGGTAAAGCAGGGGGGAGGGGAGGGTGGCCGTGAGTAGAATGGACTAGACAGGCAACCTACCACAATAACAAAATACTCACCCCAGCTGCCCTGGTGTTGAACATTATAATCAAGCCTCAGCCCACTCTCAGCTCCTTGTCCCTCCTCCCTACCCAGGTGGCATCCAGACCCAGGTGCCTGGGACCAGACACCCGGCAGCCCCTGCTCTCTGTCCACATGCTGTGGAAATGGACACCGCTCAGCTTCCCCGGGCCTCAGTATCCCTCACCTGTGCACTCACCTCTGCACAGGTGTGTCTTGAGGACTTCGTGGATGTGTGAGCATGTGTCTAGTGTAAGACATGAGACACCTCAGGTAGCACCATCACCATGAAACCACCGATTCCACCCTTATTGTGGGGAGCAAGGGGGTGGGGACACCTGACCTGGAGCCAGATATGAGGGACACAATGACTCACCTCTTCAGATCTTGAGGGTTCACTTCCGATTGTATCAGAGTGTTCGTCTGAATTCTCATTCTGTGAAAAGAGGCAAAAGTTGGGACAGCCTGATCCTTCGGTCCCAAGTGGTTCTGAATGCCCTCAGCATCACACAATAGAACTCAAACCCCACCCCGCTTTCACAGCCCACAGCTGACAGACATGGGGAAGAGCTTCTTAACGTTCTGGTCCACAGAGCCTCATGAACAATGTTTATCTGTGGAGGTAACAATGACACTAGGGACAATATGTTCCCCCTTCCCAGAGACGAGTTATATGCACACCTATACACACATACACACACACACACACACACACACACACACACACACTTCATACAGGTGGGCCTTCACTGTGCATACACAGACATATGCACATCATGGTGGGAGGGCTGAGTCAGCTGGTTAAACCGGGAACTGTGGTTCTCAGATATCCTACCATCTATGGTCCCAGCGAGAGTTGTCCTAGAGAGGAACTTGTGGGGGCTGGGAGGCAAAAGTCATTTCTTAGCCATTCCTCTCTGTGATGGTGACAGAGAAGAAGGGGTGCCCAGTGAAGTCCACACTGCATCCTGCTACTGCCCCAGACTGCTGATCCTGCGGGCTCATGGGCCTCAGAACACCGCCAAAACTCGCCATGGCCCTAATCTTGTGGCTGGAAGCGCTTAGCTCCTGGATAGCTTGGGTGGTCAGTGTCACACCCAGAAATAGCCCGGCCTATTTTACACACAATTTGAGTCACCCAAAATCAGCAATAGCACTGTATTGTCAGCCCAGGGTATAAGGCAAAGAAGCTCCACACAGGACAGTGGAGTAATTTGCTCTCCAGGCCACCCACCTGGAACCAGGGCAGTCATTAGTTGGGGTCCCTGGCCCCCATTTCCTCTAGCTGGCTCACAGTTGGCTGGAGGGGGATGGTCTTTGTAAGACTCAAGAGTTGATTCCTATCAGGGGCTGAAGAAGCTGGCAGAGAAGGGAGTGGGAGACTGGCCAACAGAAATGTCCCCAGTCCTTGAGGCCGAGGCCTCCTGGGACCTCAGCCCCTGCCCACATCCTCAAGTGCACAGGCAGCCTCCTCCCCAGACAGGGAATTCCTACTTGGGGGTGGGGGTGGGGGACAGGGAGGGAGCCCTCCCCTTACTGGTGCTTCCCTTCCTCCACGGGGAGTGCCTGTGACCAAGGCCTATCCCCCCTTTCTTAATGCTCTGCCCTTGCATCAAGTCCCTGGGACCCCCTTTCTGTCAGGGTGGCTATGCCGCGCACAGGCCCGCCCCTAAATCCAGGGGAGATGGGATGATGGTAAAGTAGAGGGGAGAAGAGGGTGGCCATGAATGGAACGGACTAGACAAGCAACCTACAACAATAACAAAACACTCTCCTGAGCCTCTCAGGTGTTGAACCTTATAATCAGGCTCCAGCCCTTTCTCAGCTCCTTGTCCCTTCTCCCCACACAGGTGGGGTCCAGACCCAGGTACCTGGGACCAGACACCTGGCAGCCCCTGCTCTGTGTCCACATGCTGTGAGATTGGACAACCCCCAGCCTCCCCGGGCCTCCATATCCCTCACCAGTGAACACATCTGCCACACAGGTGTGTCTTGAGCAGTTAGTGGATGTTCGAGAATGTGTCCAGTGTAAGGGATGAGAAACCTCAAGTAGCACCATCACCATGAAGCCACCCACTCCACCCAAATTGTGGGGAGAAGGGTGGTGGGGCATCTGACCTGGAGCCAGATACAAGCGACCCAATGACCCACCTATCCATGTCCCCAAGGTGAACTTTCGATTGTATCATAGAATCTGTCTAAAATCTCGTATTGTGAAGAAAGGCAGAAGTGGATAAAACAACCTGATCCTTCTCCCTCCTGGGTCTCAGGTGGCCCTGAATGTCCTCGGGGTCACACAGTAGAACCCCCTCCCTACCCTCCTAATCATAGCCCAGAGCTGACAGAAGTGGGAAAGAACTTCTTACCATTCTGGTCCTCAGAGCCTCGTCAACAATGTTTATCTGTCTTGGTAACAATGGCACTCAGGCTGTTATATGTTCCCCCTTCTCAGAGACAAGTTATTTGCACACCTATACACACACTCCCTTACATACAGGTGGGCTCTCATTGTGCACACACAGACATACGCAAAGTGTGGTGGGCATGCTGGGTCAGCTGGTTAAGCTAGGAATTCTGGTTCCCAGATATGCCACCGTCTATGGTCCCAGCGGAAACCCTGGTGGTGTAATGGTTGAGCGCTACAGGTCCTAACCAAAAGGTTGGCAGTTTGAATCCACCAGGTGCTCCTTGGAAACTATATGGGGCAGTTCTATTTTGTCCTATAGAGTCACTATGAGTCAGAATCGACGGGACGGCAATGGATTATGGTCCCAGTGAGACTTGGCCTAGAGAGGCACTTGCGCGGGGCTGGGAGTCAGAAGTCATTTCTGTAGCCATTCTTCATATGATGGTGACAGAGAAGCTGGGGTGCGCAGCACAGTCCACTTTGCATCCAGCTGCTGTTTCTGACTGCCAATCTTCAGGCCTTAGGGGCCCTACCTTCCCCTCCAACAACTGAATTGACCCTCAGAGGTGGGAGGTACCCCACAGATTCTCCGTGAGCTCACATGGAAGGGCCCCAATCTGGTGGCCAGAAGCACTTGGCTCCTAGATAGCCTGGGTGGTCAGGGCCACCCCCAGAATCTGCCTGGCCCTGACGATACAAACAATTTTAGTCACCTCAAATCAGCTATAGCGCTTTACTGTCAACTCAGGGTATAGGGCAAAGGAAGTAACGCACTGGCCAGTGGGAGCTATTTGCTCTTCAGGCCACCCTCTAGGAACCACGGCAGTCATTAGGCCCTGGATGACCACAGTAGCACAAGTCTCAGAGTTCCCTGGGGCATCTGGCCAACCTCATGGGTGTGCAGAAGGCAGGGAGGAGATAGGGGGTCAGAGGCGCTCCAAAAGGGAGAGACAGATAGCTCCTGAGTCAGTACTGAGCGGCCCCAGCCCCACCCAGGCACTGGAGTGGAGCTTGAAAAGCTTCAAGGAAAGCTCTCCAAAGCATTGCCCACCCTTACCCTCCAGGCTTGACCAGGTCTGAAGGGGCTTCTGGGACTGGTGATTCTTCCAAAATCCAACTCCCTTCCAGACCTTCCATTCCCAGCTCCCCCAGAACCATGCAGATCTGACTTCTAAAATAACTCCCTTATCCCACAAGTACTCATTGTTACTTGGCTCCCATGACTATCCATGACACACACACACACACACACACACAGAAATATCTAAAGCACATGACTTTGCACACACAGACACACACACACCCGGAAATGAACACAAATGACATGCTTCCTCACACACACACTAAAGGAGTTACCCCCCATAATTAACCTCCAAGACCAAAGTTCTGACCCCGTAACCAGGACTGGCTACATAATTTGTGGGACCCAGAGCAAAATGAAATACAGGGTCCTTTGTCAAAAGTTACTCAGAATATCAAGATTTTGACAGCAGAGCATTAGACCAACCAAGCGTGGGGAGCTCTGAGGGTGGGGACCTGGGCAGAAGCCAGCCCTGCCTATGACCTCAGCCCCCCAGGTACCACCCATGGCCCTGGAGGATCTATATGGAGGGATCAGCAGGGATGGTGGGAGGTGCAATCTGGGGAAATGGGATTCCAATGCCCCACCATCCCCTCATCACTTGCTCTTACTCACCTGGGGGGACTCCATGGTGGCTCAGCGTTTCAGAAGCCAGTGCCTGGTGAGGAGGGACAGGTGTGAGGAGAAGTGAGCAAGGACTTTTTCTCCTCCCCTCCTGGGGAGTTCCTCAGGCCTCAGTGCCCTCAGCTCCCTCACTGGGATGTCACCACAACCAAGCCCGATCTTGCCCCTGGAGGATTCCAGGCCTCCACTGGGACAGTCACCTTCTCCTCCACCAGACAGACACCTTCTGTGGCTCCTCCCCTTCCAATGTGCACAAAACCCAGCTGAGGTTTCTGCCCCCAAAGCAAGGCTAGCTGAGTTAAGTGTAGCAGAGGGAGGGGCTGGTGAGGGTGGAGCCTCTTCAAAGCAGGAGGCAGAGCTGAGTGTGTGTGTGTGTGTGTGTATGTGTGTGTGTGTGAGAGAGAGAGAGAGAGACAGAGGACCAAGGGGCATATGAAGGGTGAGGATACTTGTCTTACAATCTCAATCCCTGACCTTGGCCCTTCCAGTCTCTGAGCTTTCAGGAAGGGGCTGCTTCCCCCAACCCCCTCTGTCTGAGAGAGGAGAGGGGCAGAGGGAAAGTCCAGACTTGGGAAAGGAGGTGAGGACAGGGAAGGCAGCCAGGTGGAGGTCAGAGTACAGGTTAAGGCTGACTGGGTCCCTTGCACGGAGCTACATCCCAGCTAAAAGCCCAGAGAAGGTTCCACTCTACCTTCTCGGTTCAGTATGCAGTGGGACCTTCAAGACCACGAAGGTGGGACCCCAGCCCCGAGACCACCACCTACACACTGCAGGAGTGGCTGGCAATGATGTGACTGCCTGAAGGACACTTGGGCCGTGTCCTGTACAAGTTCCCACCTTTTGCCTGTTATGAATAATGCCGCTATGAACATTTGTGTACAAGTTTTTTGGTTTTCTTTTGTTCTTTTTCTTAGTCAGTACTTGGAAGCTTTTATTATTTCATTGTACTCTAATGACTTTTTTTTCGACTTCTCGTCTCCACTTTTTATTGCTGTTGAAAATATACACAGCAAAACATACACCAATCCTCCTGAGGTTCACCCTTCAGCCAAATATTAGACAGGCATATAAAACAAACAATAATACATGTAGCTCAACCATAATCTGAAACTAAATGGCACACCAGCCCAGGGGCAAGGACGAGAAGGCAGGAGGGGACAGGAAAGCTGGATGAATGGAAATGGGGAACCCAAGGTCAAAAAGGAGAGAGTGTTGACACTTCCCGGGGTTGGCAACCAAAGTCACAAAACAATATGTGTATTAATTGTTTAATGAGAAACTAATTTGCTCTGTAAACCTTCATCTAAATCACAAATTAAAAAAAAGAAATCAAGCAACGTATTGCATCGGGCAAATATGCTGCAAAAGACCTCTTTTTAAAAAAATACATCAATTCAGCAATTTTTAAAATACGCAATAGTTTTATTATGAATAAGGGTAAAAATATATTTGACAAGCTAATTCATAACCTTAGGAAACATTGCATTTCATGACCTTCTTAGGTAAAATCCAAGTCAAATTCCAATTAACTCCCACATTGTTAGGCTAAGTTTCCTTAAAATATTGTATGATTATTACTTAAATTTTCTAATTGTTGCACCAGTTAGAACTGATTTTCAAGGGTACTTCTCATCTGTTGGAGCCCTGGCGCCACAGTGGTTAAGAGCCAAGACTGCTCACTGAAAGGTCAGCAGTAGGAATCCACCTGCCACTCCTTGGAAACCCTGTGGGGCAGTTCTATTCTGTCTTATAGGGTCGCTATGAGTCTGAATCGATTCAGCGGCAACGAGTTTTTTCTCATCTATTTGCTCTTAAATTTATTTTCTTGTAGGTAAAGAATTTTAATGACTTTGCAGAATAACATAAATGTCATTTATCATTGCTGAAAAGCATTCCTCACAAAACTTGATGACTTTATTGTGGTGATCGTTTCTGTTTATTTGTTTCAATGATACTAAAGACGGAAATCCTTCACCAGATGAGATTACACACACCAGCAATCAGAATATCAGCAACTGTCTTCTCCATCTTGGATGTTACTTTTAATGCCGATAGCAGCAAATACACCTCGCTTTGCTCTCCAAGGAAAGAAACTCATTGTGGTGCAACGAATTCCTTCATATGGCCCCTCCAGCCATGGTCTTTGTGACTCACATACAATGATTGAGTGGGACTATGCAAATAAGGAATATGGAACTAGTGATGCTCGGGGTTATGTGTCAACTTGCCTAGGCCATGATTCCTAGTATTGTATGGATGTCTTCTGTTTTGTGGTCCGATGTAATTATCCTAATTATCCTCCATTTTATGTATTATAAATCCTAACCTCTATACCTTAGTGGGAGCCCTGGTGGCACAGTGGTTAAGAGCTATGACTGCTAACTAGAAGATCAGCAGTTCAAATCTATCAGCCCCTCCTTGGAAACAATATGGGGCAGTTCTACTCTGTCCTATACGGTTGCCATGAGTCAGAATGGGGTTGATTTGTTTTTTTTTTAATGTGTTAATGAGGTAGGATTGGTGTGGGGTGTATCTTGAGTCATAGTCTTGCAGGAGGGCATGAGTCGAGTCCCACCCTTACTCAAGTTATCCCCTTCCCTGTGGTGTGGCCTACATCCAAGGTATATATGTGGGTGCTCTGGTGGGGCTCACTCTCTCTGCACCTGAATCCTGAATCATTGTCTTACCTCCGGTTCTTGGGACTTAAACCAGCGGCCTGCCACCTGACCAGCCGATTCTGGGATTCCCCAACTTCAGCAGCCCCATGGGCCATCAGACTATTGTCTAACCTGATTCGCCAGCATCCAAAGCCTTGTGAGCCAGCAGCCTTGTCATCTGGCCTGCCAATTTTGGTTCCTTCGCCCCTGCGGCCACGTGAGTCAGGAGAAGCCTACACCTGACCCACGGATTTGGGACTTGCCAGCCTCCACAACAGCATGAGCCATTTCCTTTATACAATTTGTGAGTTCTGTGAGGCATTGCAGCAAATTATAGAGCCCAAAGAACAGAGGGAGAGTACGAGGGGAGGGGCAGTAGTTAATTTTAGAGATGATGGAGTGGTACAGCAGTTTTGACGAGTTGGACACTTGGGACATCTTTAACCTCACCCTCACAGGAACCAACTTTGTGCTGATCCTTATGAAAGAAGTTATTCATTTCCTCATAATCCCAAAATTCTGTTTGTGTACTTCGTTGGTAAAAATCAACTGAACTGTGTGATAAAGAAAAGTTGTAATGAAACTAACAAACAAATAAAAAAAATAGGTTTCACAAGTTCTAAATAGTTCAGAGGTGTTTTGGGCATTATGTCATTTATTTCCACATTTTATCACTAATATTATATTTTATGCATTTTTATTTTAAATCAACCTTTAAAATGGGAAACATAAGACTCAAAGTCTCATTCTGTGTTGTCCAGAAAGTTGAGCGGTTATGCAGTATAACTGGGGCTCACGAAATGCATACCTTGTTTGAGGTTGCAATACCATCTTCTTAAAATGATGTCTTGAGACACTTTTGAGGCCCTGGTTGGATGCCAGTCTGTTCCCTTCTTGACCAGCTGATAAAGGTCACTCTCCACCCACTCTCTTATCAGGTTCTCACACTCCTGGGCCACTATGTACCCACCCTAATCCAATTCAGCAAGTTTTACATGTACAGTTTAAAGAATTGTACATGTAGAATTTACTATTTTAAATAAAAAGGTTTAAAGAAGCTTTCAGGGAATTTTTTTTTTATTTAAGGTTTAAGGATTATCTAAAGGCAACAGTTTGAATTTGAAACTCTGTTCAAATCCCCTACCCCTTCTTTTAATCAGGACTCCTCTATAGACTCTTTGGACAAGACCTTCAGTGTTGCTAGCCAGGCACCATCCAGTTCTTTTGGTTTCATGGCAGAGGAGGCAGGTGTCCACGGAGGAAATTAGCCTCACCTTCTTTTTCCTCTGTATTTTCCTGACTCTCCTTTCTCTGCTCATCCAGGCAAATAGAGACCAACTTCTAGCTTCGTTGCCCACTTGCAAGCTTTTGAGAACCAGACACTATTCCAAGAACGAGGAGGTGGTAGAAGAGAAGCACGAAAAACAATACCAGTTAACTGGGATGACCCATGACACTGCCGCCCTAAACCTCCAAACCAAGAAGTCATATCCCATGAAGTGTTTGGTTGCACGTAAGCAGGCTCAGCAACGATTCTTCTTTTTTGTTGTCATGTACAAGTTTTTGTGTGGAGGTACTTCTTCATTTCTCTTGTGTATGTACCGAGGAGTGAAATTGCCGAGTCACGTGGTAACTCTATGTTTAGTCTTTTGAGGAACCGCCAGATGTTTTCCAAAGTGGCTGCACCATTTGACATTCCCACCAGCAGTGTCTGAGGCTTCCAGTTTCTCCCCATCCTCACCAACGCTTGTTATCGTCCTTCCTGTGGATTACGGTCATCATACTTAGCATTTCTAACCCTCCAAGCAGCTATATGAAAGAAAGCCCTGGCAATTTTTTGGAATAAGGATTACAGCCAAGAAAACCCTTGGGAGCACTTCTACTGTAACACCTGGGGCCACAACGAGTCTGAATGGACTCCAGGGCACTGGAGATTTTACTGTGCACCAGTGACCTGTGTTGTTGTTGGGTGCTGTAAGTCAACACAGCAGCCCACGTGTGACTGTGTCAACTGCCCCATAGAGTTTTCTAGGGGTGGGTTCCAACCACTAACTTTTTAGTTAGCAGGTGAGTGCTTAACCATTGAACCACCAGGGCTCCTTCCAGTGACCTGTAGTTGCTGGGATATCGAGGGGGAAGTCCTGCATGAGAAGGTGGAGCAACCTGGGAAGATGTGAGGGAAGGGTGTCCCAGGTAGAGGGAACATCATGTGTGTCATGGATTGAATTGTCCCCCAAAAAATATGTGTTGTAATTCCTAGCTTCTATGTCTATGATTATATTCTGATTTGAGAGTGGCTTGTCTTTGTTATCTTAATGAGGCTGGATTAGTGTAGGGTGTATCTTTGAGATATAAAAGAGATTAAATGCAAACTAGCAAGCAGAGATGGGGAAGAGAGATGCCAAGCCACAAGAAACAGAAGCTCAGAAGAACAAGGAACTTCCTCCAGAGCCAACAGAGAGAAAAAGCCTTCCCCTATAGCTGGCACCTCGAATTTGAACATCTGGGCTCCTAAACTGTGAGAAAATAAATTCTGTTTGTTAAAGCTATCCCCTTGTGGTATTTCTGTTATAGCAGCAGGTGATAACTAAGACGATGTCCAAAGGCCCTGAGAGGGAAGACAG